TAGGAACCCCCCCCCCCCCGCCCGCCCTCGCCGCTATGCTTCTCCCGCAGCAACCTTGCGCGCAGGTGAACGCAGGCCGACCGCTCCGTCGGTCGTTCCGTCGAACGCTCGGGCGAAAGAGAGAGAGAGAGAGAAAAAGAGAAAGAGAGAGGACGAATGAGCGAGCGAGCGAGAACGCGCAGGTTGGCAGGTCACTCTCTTGTGTACCGGGCCGGGACACGCCGCGCCGCGCCAGCCAGGTGCATTCTCGCGTCCCGCTTGCCTGCTTTCCTCTCTACGGCCAAGCAAACGAGCGCGCGGCCGAGGCTGCCGGGTAATGTGCTGTATGTTACGTCACGTGCGGCCAACACGCCCGCGATATGCAACTGCGCGACCCTGCCGTTCTCGAAAAGGAAAGAAGAGGGAAGAAAAAAAAGAAAACAGATTCCTCTCATAACGGGAGATGTGATTTTACGTTGCTCACTAATTACGTCGCCGGGGTTGTAAATAGACTCGGGAAAAAGAGCGGTAACCAGCAAAGGGGATGATATTCCGTTCTCGTTTCGGATAGGTCGCGTATCTTTCCCCAAAGTGCGAATATATCGTCCAGTCGCTGACGTCAGACGTGACCTCAGTGCGGTAATTGAGAAAGGTTAAAAGGACAAATGGCCAATGGACAATCTAAAAAGTACATACAAAACCTGAGGTTATAATAAAAAATGAAACCTATAGGCGGACTGCGTGGAGAGGAGGGAGAGGAAAAGAGAACGGAAAACATCCAGAATAACAGGAGTGATTGAGGGGAAACTTTAACAGAAAATGTAAAGACTTGCATATAATGAAAGAAATATTCTTAGAAATAGGAATAAATGTTAAAAAATAAAACATTAAGAATAGATGTTAAATCTAATTTTTAGAAAAAATATACAGATTAAAATAGAGATTGTATCTTATTTGTATCCAGATTGTACATTATGTTTAATTTTCTTCTTAATTTTTAATTAGAATTATGTAAGCTACTTATATACAGTTTAATCATTATATTTTTAATTTTTTTGTTTCTCTAACACAATTTAACCCATATTATGTAAGAAAAAAAATTTTCTGATCTTTTACACGATAAATCGTTCGTAGGTAACACGCGGATGTGTTGATCTCGAATTAATTTTCATTTTTACACACAGAAAAATATCAATCTACTGCTAAGATAAGATATTATTATTCAATTTATTTTTCTTTCTTTTAACGATTATTTTTAACAAACAATATTTTCTTGATAATAATCTTAAAATACACTTATTATTTACAAAAACACAAGAATGTTATTATATACTCAAAACAAGAATTTATTTTCTTTTGAGGAATATTATAAAATTAATCGAAAAAACAAGCTTTTCATAATAAATTGAATTTATTTTAATTTAATAAACTTGATTGAAGCATTAAACTTATTAGGATTTAGAATATATTTTGAATAAATTTAATGCTTTTGATGAACTTATGATACATTTGCGGATATATAAACTTTTGAAATATTTGAAATTATTATTATTACTTATTTTTCTGTGTGTAGGCCCAGTTTTTCATTTTGTAGTTAATTTATAAGTTAGATTTATCCTTCTGATGTAAAAATTGTATTTTTCTAGCTATGGTTAGTCACTGAACTAATTGTTTTGTAGTGACTTCTAAAAATACCACTAAGAAACCATCAGTTTAGTGATTAGTCATAGTTAAAAAAACTATGATTAATCACTAAAAATAATTTTTACATTATAATCAGATTAAGTGAGGTTAAAATTTAATGCACAGTTGAAAAACTTTAGGAATAAGAAATAAATATAATAGATTTCAACCTATCAGAAACTGCATTCTGGTACACACAATTTCAGATAAGTTGAAATCTGTTATTCCCTATTGTTATTGTTTGTGATTTTCAATTGTGTTTCAAGCTTAATAGATTTTCTACAACATTACCTAAGCTTTAAATCATAAGAAATTGATTAATCATAGTCAATTATTCTTCTCACTTGTGATTGGTCAATTTCTTATGGCTTAAGACTTAAAGCTTACACCTAAAGATTTCTTCAATTCAAATAAGTGTTTCTTTGCTATATAGTTAAAAAAAATTTCTTTACTTTAAATGTCATTTTTTTTATTTGAACATAATTTTTTTTAATCAAATAAATTCTTTTATTTAACTTAAAAAAAATAATGTTTAAAGAAATTTTTTCCTTAAATCGAAAAAACTTTTCTCTGAATGTAGGTAATGATTTATTGTAAAAAGCCTGTAAAAGTGCCTGCAATATATGACCAATATATAAGGCCAACTGCACATATTCGCTGAATATTAACTACATTCAATATGGATAATTATATATGTCATGTATGTGTGTATGATATTTGCTAATGTTGGCATATGTTGATCATATCATTTGGAGACACTTTTAGTCTAAATAAAAAATTAATCGAAAAACAAAAAACCTTATAAGTATACAAAAATTATTAAATGATTTTTTACATATACTTTAACATCTATTTAGAAAATTTTGTAAAGTTGTAATAAAAAAAAGAGGATAGAGAGCATTATTTAGCCAGCAGGTTTATTCTGTAACTCTTAACGTAAGTTTTCATTATCGTTACAACGCCGTTACGCAGCGGCAGAATGATAACAAAATTCGCGCTAAGAGTTACGAAATACGTACTCCTAATATTTCAAAGAAAAAATGTCCAAGATATGATCTAATCGTGTAATGATCTAATAGGTATATATATATATATATATATATATATATATATATACATACTGAAAAAATGATCTAATTGGATTAAATATGTAGTAATTCTGAAAATGGATAAAAAATTTTCTGATTAAATCTACTAGAATTCTAATTGAAATAACTGGAATTCTGATTGATATAATCTTGTAAAAATAAGAATTCTAGTAAATTTTTTTAGAATTATTATCAACTAGAATTTGGATTATTTCAACTAAAATTAAAACAGAAAACTTTGGTTCCATTTTTAATCAAAAATTTCAGTGTAAAATTAATATTTATTTCTATTTCAAATATTTTTTCCATTTTGCACAAGTCCTAACGCTCACTTTAGACGATGTATAATTCGCGATAGAATTTGAGACAGAATTCTATTTATAATTTTATGCACCGTGTAATATGGAAAACATAAATAATCAAAATTATAAATTTATGACTACAAAGTCCACTTTAGATGATGAAAATTCGCGATCAAATGCAAGACAAAATTCTATTTATAATTTTGCGTGTCGTGTGTAACATAGAAACCATTTAAAGAAATACAAGTCACATATATACAAAATATATAATAGGACATACATTTAGAATAAGTGACATATAAAATTATAAGTAAAATTTTATCTATAATTTGATCATAAATTATAGATCATCTAAAGTAAACTTAATGCGCTATTTTATAAATATAAAAGGCGCATCAAGTATATCCAGGGTATAAATACGGTACCTATGGTTAATCAATTGTACCTGGTGTAATAAAAATTGAAAATCTATAAGCGCTATGAATAGAGTCGTATCCAATCGGATAGGCAAACAAACCTTATCCATATATAAATAACATAAATTACAACTTAACCTACATATTCAATATCGTATTTCTTGTAACACAAGAAATTTTCTCATCATAACGTAATTGCATTTATAATTTGATACATAAAATTATAAATAGAATTCTGTTTCGAATCCTGTTGTGAATTATATATAAATCAGCTTAAAACAACAAGAAGATATAACAAAGTTCCTTTTTTTCCTTCACGAAAGAGCAAAAGGTTATAATAAAGAGGAAAAATAAGAGAATAAAATCCAAGATTGGAGAGAAGGAACAAAAAAATTGCATTTCTATGCAGGAATAAATGCAGCGACCGCGAGATCGGAACGGCGTCGCGCGTTTTCGGAGCCGCAACTTTTCTACGCGCGAGAACGAGAGAACGGCGGTGATACCACACGATCCGCTTCTCCCCCCCTCCCCTCTCTTTCTCATTCGTGAACGTCGCGGGTTATGTCATGTAACGTGCGTCCGCGCGATGACTTATCGGCCGACGTCGTCGAGGTCGCCGCGACGGCTCTGCGAATAGGTCGGCATGCGGGACTCGGTATCGCGCGTCGTGACTTTTTGCGACGTTTGTTTTTTTTTCTTTTTTTTTCTTTTTTTTTTTTTGTGTCGCTGTAACTCGACGATCGCACTCAACGACACGTTCCCGATGAAACGTAAAAATCTTGGTACAGTATTCCGCTGCATGACCCGGACAGAATGTATCAGCGTCGCAGTCATTTCGATCCTTTCACTTAGAATTTTGTAAACGGAGACGCATCCTTATATCAGTTGCATTGGAGAAGCCGTCGAATGCGAATATAAAAACTTGTTGAATGTTTCGAATATAATTAACTGATAATCGCACTCTACGGATATTTTCTAATGATTCCGTTCAGCAGAAAAACAACTTGAAACTATTGTATAATATATTTTTTTAATATGACTGGTCTTGATTCTTAATTCCACATTGGATTTAAATGTGTAAACTACTCTCTAAAATTTGGAAGAGTCAATCTCATTCTTAAGATTGAAAATGGAGTTACTCTTTTTTAAGGCTCAGTTTTCATTCTTTAGAAAGCAATTCCACTCGAAAAAATTTAGAGTGTATTAAAAATATTACATCATTTGTGTGCAAAACTGGTTTTTCTATTGAACAAAGCCAATTAACATCGTTTTCTGTATTTTATTTAATTCGACTATCGGTTAGCTCCGACCGAATTGATCTCAGTTAAAACTAATCTACAATGTGCTCTTTGTTAAATATTTCTTCCTTTTTTCTTCTGAAGTCTGAGACACAATTGAATAGCATAGACAATAAAAACAGGGAACTTCAACCCATAAAATCTGAGACCCATAAGATCTAATTAAAAAAACAGAGGACAATAGGAATAAAAAAATAACGAATTTTAATCTATTAAAAATCGTGCATCTATATCAGAATACACAATTTTTGAGAGATGGAAATCTAGATATTAGTCCTTATTGTATTATTTTCAATCGAGTCTCAAGCTTAGGACACAATTAAAAAATACAGGAAATAGAAACAAAGAATAATTTCAATCAATCAAAAATTGTGTATATCTGCAGAATATTCCATTTCTGAAATATGTCATTCTCTATTTCTATTGCTTGTACTTATTGTGTTTAAAGCCTACTCTACAATGTGTTCTTTGTTTCCTGTCTCTTGCTTTTTTCCCCTTTGCAACCGTTTTATCGACAGTTGTATTTCTTGCTAGGTATTTCTTGTTTCTTTCGAAATTTGTTAACTTTTATCTTTGGTGGACATAAAACAAAAAACCAGATAAGAAACAAAAAGATAAGATGTAAAAAATAGCAAAAAGCAAGAAACAGAAAATAAAAAATACATTGTAGAATAGACTTTAAGCTTTATTCCGTCCCTTTTTTTGTCGTTCGAGATAAAAGTTGATGAACTTCAGAAAAGACAAGAAACAATGTTGATAAAACAATTATAAAAAGAGGAAAGGTTTGTTCGCATTGCATACTCCAACATGCTCCTGCCATAGTTCCTACTCACTCTAATGAGTCCATTGGAGTAAACTGAAGCTATGATAGGAACATGTTGGAGCATACGACGCGAACAAATCTAAGAAACAGGAAGCAAATACCACACTGTAGATTAATCTTTAGATTAACGTACAAGTGCCATTTTCATCAAAAAAGCATCCTCACGTTGCATATCTTTGTTCTCTCCCGAACGCAAAAGCGCGAACATGTACTCGCGCTTTTGCGCATTCTGGTTTTTTCCTTGCACACGTAAGCAATCGGTTTCCTCGTGTATGTGGC